GGCCTCAGACTTAGTCTCTTCAGGAGGAGTTTTCCCTATTATCTGAGCTAGCTCATCTGTGATTAGTTGCTTCCTCTTACAATTTCGTTAAGTGCTATTAGTATTGAAACTTGGCTATAGAGAACTCCATGCATACTCTAAAGCTATGAAGTTAATATTGCCAATTTAGATATTGCCAATTTAGTTTTTGATCCCTTCACTACTTTTAGAGACTGATATGGTAGATAGGAAACTGTCATTAATTCCTAGTCTTTATTTTGCAAAGCAAAGAAACATAAAAACAATAGTAGGAAAACAGCATAACCTTCACAGAGTTAATGGTAACCTGGCTTCTTAGATTTTTTTTTATAAACTCCCCTTTGAAATATCCTCACTGAGAATTCTTTTTAAGAAATACCTAGAAGTTTGAGCTAAATAAAGCCCTATTGGTGTCTACCTGGAAGTATTTGTTCTAAAAATAAGCTTTTATTAAATTATGTTTACAGTAAACTACATCAATAAAAACAATTATAATGAAACTTGACTCAGATATATGCTTTCATGCATTTTTGGGATACGTTATTGTAGTTTCTTTGGCATCTAAGAGGAAGATAAGAATAAAGTCTCCTGCCTGCCAGAAAATTCTTCTGTTCACATTACTTTCACTTTGATAGCACAGGAGATTTCCTGTGGGGGAAATGTGGCCACGTATAAATATCTGGCTTTTAATAAGTTAAGAAAGTGAAGATCAATGTAAATCTGATTCATTTTGCTCACTGCTGTGCAAATCTGATTTCTACTCTAGATGATTTATGTTTATATTTTTAATATCCAGATATAAGGTCACTGGTCTGTTTAGAGACAGAGAAGATTTTACTTAGTTCCAAGTATGTATGAAGTGCCTGGGATTTGGGCTTTTTTTCCTAGAGCAAAAGCCCCTGTGTTCATTAATAGTAATATGTGGCTACCATTAATGACTGCTTCTCTTCTGTAGTACTTCCTAGAATAACCATGTATTCTCCTAGAAACACCCATTATGAAATTTTGTTTCATATGAGTAACTGGAAAGCTTCTGTGTTGACTACCAGAACCATTGCAACTGGCTAAATGGATTAATAATCCATTTATTTTTGTTTACATTTTAACAATACTGATAACAGTAAATAAAATATTAGGGTAACAGTTTTTAAGGGAAGGAACAATGATTTCAAATAGTTCTGTTTATTTTTAATTTAGATTTCTAAGGCCACCAAGCTCAACGATGACTGGGAGGTCTTAGAAATCCAAATGAAAAACAAAACAAAGGCAAGAGCAAAGAATGTAGAAAATAATACTTTGTTATATTAAAATAATCCTATGCTGAATTAGTGTTCTTTGCCACAAATCATGTTCTGAACAATTAGAAGTTGTGATCTAGCATACTTGGTGGGAGTGATGGAATTCAAGAATGAATCAGTTGAAATATTAATTTGCTGTTCAGATGAAGGAATATATATCTTAACTTAATTGCTATAATTACTTATTTTTAAAAATAAGTACCTCATAATAAGATACCTCCTTCTTCTTAATTTGCAGGTTGCCTGAGACCACTGCTGCTTCCTCATAGTTTCATTAATATATCTGAGTTCGAGTCTTCCTTCCCAGTAGGATCAATGATATATTTTCAGTGTTTTCCTGGATATAAACTAGAAGGGGCAGAGTTCCTTGAGTGCATGTATAATCTTATCTGGTCAGATAGTCCACCTAGGTGCCTTGATGTGGAAGGTAAAGCATCTTCTATGTTCAAAAAAATACCAGTGAAGTCTAAGTATAGTTTTACTTGGCTTAATAACTTTTTACTTGATCTATCTTAGTCTTTTCTCAATACATAAACAGTGTTTGTTTTACAGTTACATTCTGTATATGTCTGCTTAGAAGTAAGTATTGCATTCAGTGCAACGTATTCTAAGTAAGTGAGTATAAAATTTCAGGCTTACTTATTGTATATATACTATACTCATTATTAAAAATAGTTCTAAGCTATTTAATATTGTGTAAAACTGCTTACAATATGCATTAATCTTATGCATATTGCATGAATTAATTAATGAAAGAAAAATAGATATGTGTCTGTGAA